TTCATCCACTTAAACTTATCTTTTATTTTTTCTTATTTTTCTTATTTTATTTCCCAACCGTTTGTTCTGTTTGTTTCTTTGTTTGTTGTGTTTGTTTGTTTTTCTTTTTAAATAAAAATTATTTTTAACGGTCGATTAAAACATTTTTAATTTTAATTTTTTTAAGTTTAAATATTATTATTATTAATTTTTTTCCTCATCCTCGTTTGTCGTTTGTTGCTGTTGTTGTTGTTTGTTAACGTCAAAAACAAAAACTTTTACTACAACAACAAAAATTTCATTAATTATTTATCGTAATTAATTAAGAAAACGCTCGAATAAAAAAAAAAAAATTACTTAAAAACTTTTTGAACATTAATAATAATAATAATAATAATAATAATAATAATAATAATAATAATAATAATAATAATAATAATAATAATACTAAAAAAAAGGGAAAATCGTCGTGTAAATAACCGATTATAAATATTATTAGTTAAAACCCTCTCCCTCCCCTCCCCCAAAAGGGTATTTATATTAATATATATCGAAACGTGTCACCAGCAACGATTTTTATAAAAAAAAAAAAGGAAAAAAGAGGAAAACATATTTAATACGACTTTTTAATTACGTACTCGTAAATTATTTATATCACCCTTCGTGATAACTACAAAACACGACAAATTATTAATAATAATAATAATAATAATAATGATGATGATAATAATAATAATTTACTCCATAACGAAACGGCACGAAAAAAAAAATGGCGGAAAAAATTGAAAAATTAATTTTTGTCTTATTATTTAACGTTTAAACCGTTATCATTAAATATTTATTATCATTATTATTTATTAGGGTGGGGGATGGGGGAACTCACGTTTTACATTAATTTACAATAATAATAATAATAATAATAACAATAATAAATTGGGGAGATGAAAAATTTTTTTAATTTAACCGACGTGATCGACATTATTAAATATTTAAATAAAAAAAAAAAAAAAGATTTTTCAAAATGTCGTCGTTTATAAATAACCACAAATAATGATAATAATGATAATGATAATGATGATAAAATCCGAGAGAGAGAGAGAGAGAGAGAGAAAATTTGAAAATTGAGTGCGTGTGGGTGCGTTCTCGTATAATACGTGAAAATTTACGAAATTTAAATTATTAAATTAACGTTTTTCCGACAAGATTTTCTTTTTTTTTTTTTTGAAAATTTCATAGAGAAAATAAAAGAATTTCCGGTCGTAGGAGGAAAATGGAGGGGAGGGAAAGGGGAAAATACGTAATTAGAAAATTAACAAAAACCGGTGACGACCCCCGGATGACGATAGAAAAAAAAAAAATTAAAATTTTCCCTTACGATTTTTTTTTATCTAATGTTAGATTTTAATTTTGTCCGCCATTTTGTTTTTTTTTATTGTCAAATATATATTCGTTTGTTTGTTTGTTTGTTTAAAAAAAAAAAAAATTTTACGATCGAATTATTTTATTTCATGTTTGTCGTTTGTTTTTCGAATATTTAAATAAATCGAAAAAAAAAAAAAAAAAACAAACGACAGCGAAAAAGAGAGAATTCGATGACGGTTAATTTAATTTTTATTACGTAACGAAAATAAAATAAAATAAAATAAAAAGAAGGCGGTGTGAATTAATAAAAAATAATTGAAGGAAATGACGTCATGTAAAAAAATTTTTTTTTTTTTTTTATGGAAATAATAAAAAATTCGAATCGAAAAAAATATTTCCTCCCCCCCTCCAGATAAAAAAAAAAAAAAAGAAAAAAAAAAATTAAACGTGCGTAATCTTTTTTTTTTTTATACAAATTGGAAAAACTAGGTGAATATCGAAGAGGGGGGAAAGGTGGGGAGGCGTGAGGAAAGGGAAGGGGACGGGAGTAAAGGGGGGCGGGGGGCGGGGCAGGGGAGCAGGGAAAAAAATTAATTTTTTAAAAAAAAATCGAGGAAATCAATTTTTTTTCCCCCCCTTTTTTTTTTTATTTTTATTTTTTTAAATAACGGAAAATCAAATAAAATAAAAAATCGGGGAGGCGGAAATGAAATGGGGGGTTGAGGGAGGGGGAGGGGGGAGGGAAAAACGTTACGATCCGTGTAAATTTTTTTTTTTTTTTCACTTTTCGAAATTAAAAAAAAAAAAAATTTCACTTTCACTTAAATAAAACATTTTTTTTTCTACCCTCCGTTTATTATTATTATTATTACTATAATTATTATTATCGTTATCGATAAAAACAACATACAATTTATTATCATTCAAACAACAACAACAACAAACAACAAACAAACAAATTAATAATTTTTTTAAAAAAACATTTTTCAATGAAACTATAATTAATAATTTAACCTTTTTAATAAATAATTAAACATGATAATAATAATGATAATAATAATCGTTTTATTTCGTCGTTTTAATAATAAATTGATAATTATTATGAAGGAAAGGAAAATCCTGTGGGAAATCTCGTTTTATAATAATAATAATAATAATGATGATCGAATGAATGAAAAATTGTAAAAATTTTTTTGAATAAGACGGAGAAAAGATTATCATCAGATGGCGAAGAAGAAAAAAAAAAAAAATTTTCTTTCTTTTTTTTTTCTTTTACAAAAATTTATATTTAAAATAGGAAAAGTAGGATATATAGGGAGAGAGAAGGGGAGGGAGGGGAG